CAGCATGCTCGATTACCCCCCTGTGCAAAATCCCAGCCTCGCATGTCAAAATTTACAAAAAATCGATAAAATCAATAAAAGTAATCGATAATTCTGAAAACTAATATTGTATTCGGAATCCCCATGCTCACTTCCCCCCCTGTGCCAACTCCTAGCCCTGTAGGTGAACTCTGCAAAAAAATCGATAAAATCAATAAAAGTAATCGATAATTCTGAAAACTAATATTGTATTCGGAATCCCCATGCTCACTTCCCCCCCTGTGCCAACTCCTAGCCCTGTAGGTGAACTCTGCAAAAAAATCGATAAAAATCGGTAAAATCGACATCGATCGATAACGAAAAGTGGACTGTGACACCCGCCGGGGCCCGAAGTGTATGTGTGCCAAGTTTGGTCCGGATACGGCGGAGCCGGGTAAGCCAGCTAGTTCTTTGTAAAATTAGAGCTACACGGCTGGTATTTGGCACAAATGTATGTGAGCACGCTCATTGCAAAGATAGTAACCGTTTTTGAGAATACCCATTACTTTTATTGATTTCATCAATACCCATTACTTTTATTGATCTCATCTTTTTTTCAAAGCTGAAGCTACGAGGCTGAGATTGCAGTGGTCCGGGGTAAGTGAGCATGCCGAGAATTCTATAATCATATTCGGAATTTACGAAGACGGTAAATTTACCCAAAGTTGTTATAGATTCACATTGGCCCGCCTTTACCTTTTCAAGTCCTACTTCTGCCCCTAAAATCAGAAAAGCACAAAGAACCTGGTCTCGAGGGAAGAAAAGGCTTATAAACTGAGCCGGCAAGATACTTCCGTTAAGAATTTCTACGAGTCAATATCTAATATCTAATTATACAGAAATTTCCTTGAATTACTTCTGTCCCTTCCACTCTGCAAAAACCATAATTCTGCCCCTAAAAGCAGAAAAGCACAGGGAGTTTAGGCCCGTATGCACGTACATCCCCGCTGGGGAGGGGAGGGGATCTGAGAGGGGATGCGTCATATCTCGCTACTTTACGTATCTTTCTTCTTCCTTTTCTATCTTGCTTATAAAGGTTCTCATACCCTACTACCTGCGCATAATCGATGCCAGGTTACAGGCATAACTGATTAGATTTGTACTATTTTGTGTGATCCCCTGGGGATACCCTCTCATTTTCAAAGTCATTTATCTTCCTGAGAAATCAACAAAAACGCCGCAAAATTGTACTGAGGATATACTACGGCACTGCTAAGCATGTTCAAAGTAAAAATAAGTGAAATCTCAGGACATCAAAATCTTCGTTAATCCCTGGCTCAAAAGCTAGGGATCATCGAAAAATTCACAATCTTCAGATTCCATTTTTTTCTGTCGAAAACATGCTTAGCAGTGCCGTAGTATATCCTCAGTACAATTTTGCGGCGTTTCCATTGATTTCTCAGAAAGATAAATGACTTTGAAAATGAGAGGTGATCCCCTGAGGATCCCCTGGGGATCCACAGGGGATCACACAAAATAGTACAAATCTAATCAGTTATGCCAGTAACCGGGCATCAATTATGCACAGGTAGTAGGGTATGAGAACCTTCATAAGCAAGATAGAAAGGAAGAAGAAAGATACGTAAAGTAACAAGATATGGCGCATCTCCTCTTAGATCCCCTCCCCTCCCCAGCGGAGATGTACGTGCATACGGGCCTTAGTCTCGGGGGAAGAAAAAATCATGGCTTTAGGCAGCAAGATATTTCCGCCAGAAGTTTCAGGGTGTCAATGATTATACAGAAACTTGCTTAAAATTTACTTCTGGCCATTCTACTTTGCAAAAACCACACCTCTTCCTCTAAAAGCAAAACAGCACAGATAGCTTGGTTTCGAGGAAAAGACAGAACCATGAGCTTCATGCGACAAACATTTTCGTCAAGGCGTTTGACCCCCTAAACTTCGCAAAAACCAGTACTTCTGCCCCTAAAAGCAGAAAAGCACAGGGAATTTAGTCTCTAAGGAAGGACAGCCCATGAGTTTCATCCAACAGGACATTTTCTCTAAGACGTTTGACTCTTCGCAAAAACCACAAAATTCAAATACCATAGTTCTAAAAGCCCTAAGTCCTAAAAGCAAAAAGCACAAGGAGCTTGGTCTCGAGGGAAAGAATTATGGCCCTAGGCAGCAAGATATTTTCACCAGAAGTTTCTGGGTGTCGATGTTTTATTATACAGAAACTTGTTTGAAATTCGTGGCCATTCTATTCTGCAAACCTATACTTCTTCCCCTAAAAGCAAAACAGCACAGATAGCTTGGTCCCGAGGGAAAGAGACTCATAAGCTCAGCCAGCAAGATACTTTTGCTGAAAATTTCTGGGTGTCAATGTTTATTCTAAGAAACTTGTTTGAAATTCACTTGTGGCCATTCTACTCTGCAAAAACCGGACTTCTGCCTCTGAAATCAGAAAAGTGGTCTCGAGGGAAAGATAGACCCAGGAGCTTCTTGCGACTGGAATTTATCTTTTCTGAAAATTTTGGCCTTTTGAACTTCGCTAAAACCACACTTTTGTCCCTAGGAACAAAAAAAAAAATAGGGAGCTTGGTCTCGAGGGAAGAAAAGACTCAGGTCTCAGGCAGCAAGATATTTTCGCTAAAAATTTTTAGGAGTCAATATCTAATCATAAAGAAACTTGCTGGAAAAATTACGGCCCCTTCTTCTCAACCATACTTCTGCCCCTAAAAGCGGAAGCATAAGGAGCTTGGTTTCGAGGGAAGGAAGGACCTAGGGTTTTATGCGAGAGGATTTCGGTAAGATTGTCCTTCAAAAAAATGCGTTGGGCCAGCTTTAGTCTGTTCTAAGAAGTAACTCCGTTCACTGACAAGACATCATCGAAGCAAATGCTGCTTCGTTTTTAATACATATCTGAGTTTTCGCATGGGAAGACATAACTTGCCGCTTCCTTTAACATGGCACTTTTCCTGAAAAACAATCCGAGTTTTAGGATGAATCAGCTGTTCTAAACAGGTGCTTGAGGTAGCTTCCTTGTTTAAGACTGTGGTATCTGGGCGAAGGTATCTGCAAGAGGAGCAGCAGAGATGCTTTGCGGATAGTCACTGGTAGTAGCTTCTTTTCCTAAGAGCATAGTGTTTTGTTTCTACTACTCAGAACACGCGAAAGGTCGCTGGAAAGATGGAAATTCTCTTTCTTGGGATTTTTAGTTAATTAATGGCAGATATCAATGTATCTGCCCCCACCCACTTACTAGCGACCCGTAGGGTCGCTAGTCTTATATATAAAGCTGAATGTGTGTCTGTCTGTCTGTCTGTACGTATGTGCGGGATAGAAATTTTTATTTCTAAACCGATTTGGACCAAACTTGGCATACATACACTTCAGGGCGGGGAGCGTATCACAGGCTGCTTTTCGTACCGATCGATATCGATTTTATCGATTTTTTATCGATTTTTTGTATAGTTTGAGCTACGGGGCTGGGAGTTGGCACAGGGGGGGGGTAAGTGAGCATGGCGACTGCGAATATATTAGTTTCCAGAATTATCGATTACTTTTATCGATTTTATCGTTTTTTTGCAAAGTTTGAGCTACAGGGCTGGGAGTTGGCACAGGGGGGTAGGTGAGCATGGCGACTGCGAATACAATATTAGCTTTTAGAATTATCAATTACTTTTATCGATTTTATCGATTTTTTTTGCAAATTTTGAGCTACAGGGCTAGGAGTTGGCACAGGGGGGTAATTGAGCATGCTGATTACGAATGCAATATTAGTTTTTGGTATTACCTTTGATTTCAATGATTTTATCGATTTTTTCAAAATTTGAGCTGAAGGGCTGGGAGTTGGCACAGGGGGTTTGTGGGCATGCTGATATTGAAAACAACAGGGAACGGGAAAAGAAGTGTAGAAGTGGGCACAGGGAAAGGCTGTACAGGGATAGGGATGAAACCTTTATTACAGTGTTTTGACAGGCCCGAGCGGAGCCGGATCCGTTTAAAAACGTTTTCTTCATAAGAAAAAAATGTGCAAATATCGAAATTGATCCTTTTTGCCTTTCAAGATTGCTAAGAGATCCGGGTGAATCAGCTTTTCACAGGAATTAGTAGACATTTTTCAAAGAGCATGATTAGCCCTTCCCAATGATATACGTACCTTGCCGCAAATCAGTCGCTCCTCAAAAAAGGACGTGGAAAAGCTACGAACTTGTAGAAAGACCCAATATAATAGGTTGGCATTTGCAACTTATTTCGTAACTTTTTTCTTTTTGACTGTGAGGCAATCATTTTTGGGCACAATGTAGATTAGATACTAGGCTACAAACCTGCGCAAACAATTTGGTTTTCGGTAGCGAAATGGAGAAAATTTACTCATTTTTCGGAAACTGGTCGAATCCGAAATTTCATAGGTCGGAAAACCATTAGTGAAGCCGTTCTCAGTCTGAATCAAACAAATCAAGCCGAAACTGTGTAGATGGTTGAAGTTTCCTCTATCAATAGTCTGGACATAGTTTCGGCGCGATATGTTTGATTCAAACTGAATATGGCTTTATTTTTGGTTTCCCGGCCCTCGAAATTTCGGTATTGACGAGCTTCCGAAAAATGAGCAAATTTTCTCCAGCTCGAAACCAAAAATCAAACTGTTTGCGCAGATTTGTAGCCTACCATCAAGTCTACATTATGCTAAAAAATGAATGCGTCACAGTCAAAAAGAGAAAAGTTACAAAATAAGTTGCAAAACTTATGTGCCAACCTAATATATAGATATGTATGTGTTTAGACTTGGAAAATTGCTAAGAAAAACAGATTGTGCCTCTTGATCGGATACTGCGCACATTATGAATGCCTCAAAGTGTCACAGATAGGGCCTCTCACATCACTCGTCTGCAGATAAGCCCTGACTCATCTTACAGTCTACGGATTTATCTATCACAAATTCAGGGTAGGTAATGAAAAAAGGACTTATCCGTAGGGCGGACTTTTCTAGGGTAATTATGCCAATTTTCTTGCGGTATCATATTTTCTATTCGCTTACCTTTTACATTCTTTGAAAACTGCACATCTTGTTCTGCACCTTCCATTGTCTTCACCAACACCACAGTGACGTCGTGACCGGCTCGTGCCAACTCTTCTGACACTCGCTTGTTCCATCCCACCTGCAGAGGAGTAAATTCAAGTAAAGTAATTCAAGTATTCAGTAAATTTAAGATGAAGAATACAGAACGATACTGAAAGCTTGTCGAAAGATATTGAGGGAAGAGAGTTATTAAGTACCAAGCAAAGTGCGCATTTGGGATACCTTGCACAACAAATTGTGTTTCGTTGAGGTTGTCAAAACTCTATTATCAATATTTGCTCTTTTCTTGAGTTTGATAGCCATTATGCATGATACTTGAGTCATGAACTGCTTGTGTGAAGCTTAAATTTCCCTAATACTGCTGCTAAGCAAACGCCGAAGGCAGCATACGGGCAGTTTCTCGATTTTTGCATCTTTTGTGTCACGTAGGCCTTTTATGGCATTTTTAAACATTCTGATAAACCATCCAAATTTAGAAACGAATACATTATTCGAATTCTAGGACAAACTATCTAAAACATGCTTACATACCCGGCTTAGTCGATGTGGCTCTGCACCAAACTCCAGTAATTCGAATGCAGATTTCATCCAATTAGGAATTCGAAAAAAACATTTGAATAATATTCTTTTGAAATCTCAATTTCTAGTAACTCTAGTTTTCGAAAATTATTCGAAACCCCGTTTTCTGTTAATCCAATTTTATGAATTATGAATGTATTCAAATGTTGTATTTGAATGATCTCGCGCTTCAGATACGCCTTCGATCGCTGAAGTTGCATCCGCCGGGCATCTTGTCTAAAACCGTTTTTGCTCCGAAAGCCATCATCTGTGGTAGAGCTGACCGACTGCTCCTCGTTTTTGGCATTGTAACTCATCAAAATCTCACCAACTCAACTTAGTAGGGAAGAATCACCAATCGAATTGACCTTTCCAGTTAATATGCATATATTTTGAAGGGCATCGAAGGCTGATTCGAAATCTGTTCTTCCCAGCTGCGGAGCGCCCTTTGGGCAACGAGTTTTGAAAGTTTGGGTTCAAATGGAGCAGTAATGTCTGGCAGACCATTCTGTGCAAAAAAAATATACCCGCAAATAATTCTATTTGCGATATGCACAGACTGTAACAGCCAAATTTATTCTCGTCGCCCGTTCTTCTTTTGGCTCTTGAAACGATCATAGCTCATCATCCAGAAGTGCTCCGCAGATAAGGAGGAAGATTTGGAACCAGCGTTTGATGCCCTTCAAAACTTTTGTATTTCATCCTGAAAAGTACTTCGATTAATGATACTCCCCTGTTAGATGTACTGTAAGTTTTGGAATGTAATTATAAAATAGTACTATTATATTCATATTATATTCAACAGTTTTAAAAGCTTGTCTGTGAGTGTGGAGAAAAAACCGACATTGCAATGAGGCACACAATCCCTGCGCGAAAAGCTCAACTCAGGTTACATCATCAAAGATGGATCACTGGTTTTTGCAGGAGGAAATTACAGAGCAGCTTACCTGGCTATTTGAGATATCAGGAGCAAAGATAACAATTTTGTAAGTCGAGCATAGCGTCAGAAATGCCAAGCCAATGAACAACCCAAGCATTGCTGGAAATTGCTAATTAGATGTAGGAAAGGTACAAACTTGACATTGTCGGCAAAAAAAGCCAAGCGCTGGTGGACGCGATACCAAGAGGGCCAGAAAGGTCATTGATAGTGGGCTTAGAAAGGGGTCTCATCGGACTAGATAAGAAACTGTCTGAAATTATCTCGTAGAAGATGTTGTCGTATAAACTCCTTGATTTATGCCTGACGATTACCATGGTACCAATGGCGGACCGAGGGAGGGCCCCCCCCCCCGCGAGAATGAGTCGCGAAATTGTTTAAAATTACTTATATGGGCTATAAAAATGTGCACGTGACTTGTTTATTCTTGTAAACAATTAAAATAATTTCTGAAGATTTTTAAAAATTCCAATTAGCCTTGTAAAAAAATGTTTCGGGGGTTTGACTGACGCCACGCCCCTTTTTCAAAATTTTAGGGGTTGGGGACTCGCAAAAATTTAGAGAAGCACCCCAAAAATTTTTTTCGAAGTGCGTGGCGTCAGCCCCTTCATTGGAAAATTTTTTTTGCCGCCCCCCTCCCCCGGGACGGAAATCGTGGGACCGCCACTGCAAAGTACAAACGATTTTGTGAAACCTCGTAGGTTTACTTCATTTGTATTTCTTTTTCATAAGGGCTAGATAACTGCGCATGCCTTCAAATTTTACCTTATATCTAGGTAAACAATTTTACACGGAAATGCGGGAAATGGCAAAAAGCCGTCGTAAAGGTAAAAATTTTACCTCACTGTACCGAACCATATTTCATTTCATACTCTTCTTTCCAAAAGCAGGGATACACTTTTCTATATGCACTGTAAGACCGTTGTTTACACTGTGCGATATAAACTTCTGTCAATCTGCAATACTTATGCTTTCTTTGCGGAAAACACTAATTGATGTTCTTTGATTGCTCGGCACGAGGCTGTAAATCAGAGATAACGTCGTGATTTCTGTGTTCTGAACTCGATATCTTTATATGATAACGAAAGCGTTGTCAGGTAGTATTACAATCTAGCAATAAAATAGTCTTTTTTTCAGCTTTTGCTAAGCTTTATTCAGTTAACAAATTCTTTCTTAGCAATAATTCATTGCACTAAACATGAAATGGCTACAAATCAGAGCCTTCAGTAGGTATTGTCTGCGAAAATAAGGGTAGCACTCTTGAAGGAGGGCAACTTAAAAACAGAACGAAGAAGGATACAGTAGGATTATTCATAGACGGCAGGTAGTAGCAAATCTCAAATCTACGAAATTAAAAAAAGCTATCACTGGTTTCAAGACATCTTCAACTTATTCCCACTCTTCAAAGTACGATATATTCTCATGAGGATGAATTTGAAGATTTTGTATACAGCAAGAACCACAAAACAGAAGATATGCATTAGGAATATAATAACGTCTATGGAGTAATACTGTATCCAATTTAGCTCGATTCCAGCTGGTATCAGGTTGTCTAACGTTTTGAACTCGGCAACGAATTCCGTCCATTTGATCAGCAGCTCTTTAGGGGAGACTGGCTGCTTTTTTACCATCTGAGAAAGTCTTTTGACAGTTCTACTGTACCTGAAAGCGTTGAAATAATAACTCATTTTCCAACAAAGAAAAAGACTAACAAAACTTTCTCACTTCTCATTTTCGAGCACTTCTCGAATCGCAGCTGTAACTGTTGCTTCCGTAATCTGAGATTTTTTTAGCGTTACTGATATTTCTAATTTTTCGATAACTTTGGCGTTTTTTGGTTGATCGCTGAACAGTGCCAGGCAGATCATGGGGACACCAGCGTATATTGACTCCTGCAGCAGCTCTGATTATTCAGGGAAACAACTTGATAAGCTCTTACTTGAACACTATTGATGCCGCCATGGGTTACAAATGCTTTTGTCTTTGGATGATGTAGAAGATCGCGCTGTGGAAGCCATTCGTACAAGTGAACGTTCTCACTGACGATATCTTGGAAGACGAGATTTATTTTCATGCCCATACCCTGCTTGCGGATTTTAACCAAAAAAAAATTTTTTTTTGCATAAGTTTCTGTCATATGAACTTTTCGGTAGAATGATTGTGACACCGTACTCAAGTTGTGAACATGCTGAAATCTTCCATCTCCGACTGTTTTTTAATCTTGGCAAGATATGAACCGTAGTATGATGTAAACCAACACAGCCAAAGTGGCAACTTCTCTTTATTAACTTCGGCCAAGGTTTCGAAACGTTGGCCGAAGCTGATAAAGAGAAGTTGTCATTTTGGTCGTGTTGCTCAACATGCTGAAAATTCAGTTTCAGGGGCGAGAAAATGGATGAATAAGGTTCATGGACCTGTGCAACCAAAGTGTGATTTATTGATACCATTAGCCAATCGACTTTAAATGGCTGAAAACCCCTGGAGTTTGGAATATAGTCACGTGGTGATCCGCTCTTTCATCATATTTCGTTGGAGAAAATAAAAGTTTTTCACAAGTTTCAATGGAAGACTTATGTACCCAGTACATTAATTACTTCAACTACCTTGAACATAATTATATGAAGCGGCTTTTTTTACTCAGACAAGACCGTCTTTAGTTGAATCCGCCCTACAAATGAGTCCTTTTTGCTTCTCAACTATCCTGCTAATCTAAATCTTGTAAAATAAGTCGAAAATGGTAATATCTGCAACAAACTTATCTTCAGACGGATCTCTCTGCAGAGAGGCTTCATACGTTAGAGATTAAGGTAAATAAATATTTAGGATGATTTGCAATCAAAATGACATTATTATGAGATTATCAATTTTAACCAGGTAAAAAATCTTTTCCTTATAGTAGCTTTATTCGAAGCTACCACATACATCAGAAAAGGTGCACAGCTCTAGCATCTTGGCATAATTTGAGTGACTGCAGACCTTCCTGCTTTTCAAAGAACTGACAAATTTGGAAACACTTCAAAGTATTTAGTTATTGGACAGAGTGAGTCAGAATTACTCTGCAGTGTACAATGATAAACTAAAAGAAATGAAACCGCGACTCTATGATGAAGTTTGGTGAGTCAAGGAAGCGGTTTGTGGCCAGAGAATGGGGAATGTGCATAATGGCTGACGATCTAGTGGACTCTTTTTGATATCAACTGACAAGGGAAGCATAATAGCTTACAAGGGAATGGTCAGAAATCGAAGTGGCCAATCCAGACAAGCTGCATAGCATTAGATGCAGCATGAAGCGCTGACTCTAAATCTGTCTTCTTTATCTGCTTATCGCTTTTCTGGGCGAAGTTATAAGCCATTAAATACCATTACTTTGCTTAGAAATTATGCGTGAAATTGAAAATTTAGCCGTACAGAGCCTCGTTCGCCTCAATGTTGGGCCGAAATATGCAGCTAGCTTACTTAAAATTTTTGAAGCCAGAAGCCGAGCTAAAAGTGCAACAATGTGCTCAATTTCGCTGTCTTTATGTATGATTTTTTCACAATAGAACCACTTGTAGCTTCGTCCACAGAAGCGGGAAGCAGATAAGGAAGACAGATTCGAAGTCAGCTTTTTATACTGCATCGACTGATATACAGCTTGTTTGGTTTGGCCACTTCGACTTCTGACCATTCCCTTGTTAGATTCGCCTTTTAAGAAGGGACACATATATTTGGAATCAGCTTGGAACGATGATTCCAAATATGCTGTTCCTAGCTGCTTAGCATTATTCTGAAGCGAGTTATAGTCTCTTTTCTTGCAAAGTCTGCGTGCTCCTCGACCTACTGATGCTACGGAGTAGACGTCTAGCTGGTTTTGCAATTGTACAATGCTCTCTTTCAAGATCTAAAGAATTAATCTGATGCTAGCTCAACATCCTAGCACTTTTTTCGAGTAAATTCTTACCTACACGCCGTCTTACGACATTCAGAAGTTTATTAATTACTCACAACAGCAAGCCCTAACTCGCTCCGGAATAATGCTAAGCAGCTAGGAACAGCATATTTGGAGTCAGCGTTCAAAGGTGATTCCAAATATATGTGTCTCATCAGAAATGGCGAATCTAAGTTAGTCTCCTTCCCTTGTGAGTTTGTCCACAGCCATTTGTAAGATTTAATAAAGTAATTCATAGCTGTGCGAGGGAATCGACTGAGTATTGTGGTTTTCAACTATGGATATCCACAACAGTAAGCAGCCTTGGACCCCAACGCACCGAAATCAATCTAGTCAAAAATATATAAATTGAGTGTAACAACTTGTACAATTTACGAAATAGCATCGCCTGCACTGATAGAAGTTGTGGGCACTTTTCAAAAAGTGGTGTATCAGCTGACGTCAGACATCCGTTACGTTTACTTAGGCGTGACCAGTCCAGTGCTGTTTGAAATTTGCGTCAATGAACGTGGCAAGTAAAAACAGTAGAGCTTTTGAGCTCATACAGAGGACTACAATGGAACTTATAGAATAAAATCTTCATGACAGAAGCTGCATAAATTTTTTCTCTATTATATGGTGGCTATAAATGTGGAATTCATTCACTTACAAACGTGATATGTGACTGCTACACGATCTCCGGCGAACTCCAGCAAAATCCGAGGCTAATTTTACAAGTATGAGCGTATTATAGTGGTGAATTGAGCGCTAGATCAACTCGCTTGCGCTCAGAGGACCCGTGTAATTTTTCTTAGGGCGTTCTAACAGAAAAACTGAAAAACTGAGCTGCTACTCTATTGTACGGTGCATTGTAAGTTAGCATTGGGTATATTAATTTTCAGCGAAAAATACAGGGTGGGGCAAAAGTCTGGGAGCCTAATTTGCAGTGCTGTAGATCAGAAGCTACTAATGATTTTGATTCCAAATTTGGACCACATATTGCTGCGATCATCCTCTACAAATCACAACTTGGCTGGTTAAAAATGCTTGCCATATGTTTTTGTAGGAGTCGGATTTATCAAACAAGTGCTCTGCAAAGCGAGAAAATCGAAATTTGTTCTTCACAACTTTTTTCGTAGCTAAAGGTTCAGTGGATATTCTAAAGCATTTCGATGCATACAATGTAGAGGAGACTTTGCGCTATCAACTCATAGTCTCGTTGCGTTTATCAGATACTATTCTTTCGAAAACTCAAAATAAAAATTTGCGAATACTACCTGCGTGCCAGTGGCGATTTTTCTTCGAAATGAAATTTGAAAGCTATAGGAGCACAGCAGGCACTGAATTGTAGGCTATATTCTTTTTATGAGTCTTCTATGCAAGCATGTACTTGAGTTCGACCGATCAAGCAATTTCAATACTTTTCAGATTACGATTCTTCGCTCCCGTTCGCGCAATCGCATCCAGATTTCCAGTATACGAGTATACTTGCCTTCGATTAAAATCTAAAATTTTTTCCTAAACACTGTAAGAAAAAATTTGTCCGCAGTACGTTGTAGTTAAAAGCTTGCTTTATCATACCGTACAATTTGCCTGATGAAAGAAACAGTTATGTAAAGGCGTGGGACGAATTTCATTACGACTACAATACCACTCGTAATTTGTGAAAAAATTGGCGGCGGCACTTAACTGACGCGGCGCCGCCAATTTTTTTCACAAATTACGAGTGGTATTGTATCTGCGTGCCACGACAGGTGGACTCACCAAGATTTCAAAAGGCTGCTTTGAAGCCAGAAAAGGCAATCTCAAAATTTGAGAGCAGCGCTGTATTTGTGAAGGTTCTCCGGTGTGAACCATTTATCAGTGGCTAGGTTCAATAGCGGTAGAAAATTTGCGTGTAACTTCTTAGCCTAGTGTATTGTATCCTGCTCAGCTGTTCCTCTGCAAATACGAATTGGGCAAAGTCTTACTGCACCGATGAAGGCATTTGAGAAAAATTGTGGATGAATGAAAGCATAGTGCCTTGTAAATGACCTGAACAATATATTCTTTCAAAGATTCAGTCGATATTATTTAGGAATGAGAAAGTTACTACTACTACTTATTACTAGGAATGAGAAAGTTCGCCTTATTTCGGAAAGTGCTCGGGACGATTTTGTTCTAACGAGGCAACTCTGCTGAGAGTAGAGATTCACAATGCTAACAGCAAAAAACATTCACTGCGGAAACAGGCATCTGTTCAAACTTCTATGCAGCCTTATAAATTAGAAAGGAAAAAGGATGAAAGTACAGTTCCACATGTAAGTTATCTTCAGCCATTCATTATATTTTGAGACCTTTTCCTACGAATTTCATTTAGGAAGACGGTAAAAAAAATTTTTTGCAGCGTGAATGTCGTGGAAATCTAGAATGTTACACTTGTGTTTGATTCTTGCTGGTCTCACAATCTTCAGTGAAGCCAAAATAGGATGCAAAGATATGGAGGGCAATGACGTCGACTGGTTGGCGCTTCCTTCTCTTCAAGATGTCTTCACTTCATATTTGATGCTAGGTTTGCTGCCATAAAGCTGCCAGCGGATTTTGACGACTCCAAAGGATACAGCTTTGTTTACTACGACTCCTCTCAACCCACGTGGAAAATGAGTAAAAAGTCGATCAACAGCAGCAACTCTGCAATCGGTGCCACCATCAGGCAGATGTACAAGGCTGACAAGGTAGACTGACACATAAGCTGTGGAAGATACGCAGCTGTGAAAGACATTTCAGAAAATGTTTTACATCGCCTACAACGATGACGGGCCTGACACAGAGGTGGAGAGCGGACGCGGTCACAGCAAAGGAGTCGCGGTTTTCGACAAAAACGTAGGGTTCTGGATGGTGCACAGTGTTCCGAATTATCCACCATCAAGTGAGTCATCCAGCACAAATGCGTTCATCCAGTTGCTCACAAACCACATGTTGCAGTGAATAACCGAAATCTGACAAAAGGTGACCGCAATCTAACAAAAGAATGCATATTTAATGGTATAGAGGGGTTTGACTGCAGTCTTGAGGCATTTTTTTTCTTGTTTCCGGCTACGGCAAGTCTCTGATGTGGAAGTCGTGCTTACGAATGTCGCCAATACAAATGTCGCCAATAAAG